AATTCCTAAACAAGCACTAGAAGACAAACAGAGTAAAGTGCTACAGTCTTGAATTCTTGAACAAAAGCTAGAAGACGGATTTTGTGGAAAAAGGAATCCTTTCTCAACATTTGGATACGTCCAAACACCCACTTCAACGGAGAATCTTCAAATCACAATCTTCATTCAAAATTGAAGCCAGCAAATGCAACGGATAGTCTATTATGATTCAACGGATAGATTATCCAATCCAGCTATAAATAGCATCCTTGGAAGACTGGAGAGAAGAAGAAGAGATACAACAACACAACGAAGCAATCAAAAAAGCTATCTCATTCACAGTTAGCCCAAAAAGCTTGATAAAGAGAGATTTCTAAACTCCTTATCCAGAAGCAAACTTCTCCCCCTTCCAAAAAGCTATAGGGTAAACACTTGAAGGTTTCCTTGCCTCAAGCACCACACCACGTTGAAGGATATTACTTTTGATCAAACTTATTGATTGAAAAGGGGATAGGTCAACTCTCTTACAAGTTGATCTTGCAAGTCCTATTGTTCGGATCTTGCAGTTGTTGAAAAAGTTTGACTTTCGAAGGAACAACAAAGCCAGCACGAGTGCAGTAGCAACATTGGTCTTGTGAAGATATACCGTGCAGAAATTCACACAAGTGTAATTGTTGGTCCATTATTCAACAACCAACTACATAGTGGATTTTGAGGACGTAGAAGGATTACCCCACCTTCGAACCTCGTTAAAGTTTGCGTGTCTCTCTCTCTTATCTTTATTCTTACATGCAAGTATATTAACTGTGAAAACTAACCTATCCATATTCATTACTGCTCACTCTACCCACCAAAATTCCGCACACAATCTAAAGTTCACAAGGACTCTAGATTAACACTCATTTTCACGTTTTCAAAAGAAACGAAAAAGATTTTAAATCTGTAACAAAGTCTATTCACCCCCCCTCTAGACTTTGTATCGCACCACTTTGGGACCACCAATTGGTATCGGAGCCAGGTTCTCACTATCTACGTTTAGATTAACGAGAAGCGATCAAAATGGTGAACACTATGGATCACGGTTTGCCCAAGTTTTCTCTTCTAGGTTATGATGATTGGAAGATCATGATGGAAGCACACCTCTACGCTCTACATGATTGCATGTGGATGGTGCTTGAGGATGGACCCTTGAAAATCCAAATAGAGAATCCTGAGAGGAATCCAGCAACTCCAGACATAGTCCAGTACATTCCAAAGCCCAAGGAAAAATGGGATGATAGAGATTGCAAAAAGCACAATCTGGATAACGTCGCCAAAGCAGCCATCTTCAAGACACTTGACCCCATCACCTTCTCCAAAATTAAGCACCTTAAGACTGCCATGGAGATATGGCAAGGTCTTGGGAAGCTATGTGAGGGTTCAGAGGACTTGAGAAAGTAGAAGATAGAAGTCCTGCTTGAGAAGTTCAAAGGCTTCAAAATGCTTCCCGGAGAATCATTTGATATGCTAGATGAAAGATTCCACAAAATCTTGAATGATCTTGCATCACTTAACCACGTTCTTTCTCCCAAAGAAAAGAATGTAAGGTTGCTGAGATCTCTTCCAACTGAGTGGTACACCAAAGCCACAGCCATGGAAGAAGGAAGAAATCTGGAGAACTACACTGTCCAAGGTCTTCTTGATGAGCTCAGAACCTATGAGCACGAGCTGAAGAAGAAGAAGGAAGAACAAGTCACTCCCTTCCCCACGGCACT